AAATATTGTGTAAAAAATGTGTATTTATTGTGATTTTGAATGTTTTGTGGGGTAATATGACGCACGCAAAGTTAAGATGTTTTTTTAAAAATCCGGGACAACTTCAAGTATCACTTAATGTTTTTTCTCAAAATCTAATTTACTTTCGTAAACTATGTGTCAAATCAAAATCAAATTAACAAATTCAAAAGGAATGAGTAATAAATAGCTCATACAACTAAATAATAAATATGTAACTAAAAATCTTGTTAGCTTTTAGTTGAAAGCTAACAAGATAGTTACAATCATAGTTGCATTGTGGCTTATTAACAAAAAGTACACAAAAAGATTAGTTTAATAATTTTGTGTACTAAGAAAGAAGAAAGAACGTACTCCATCCATTTTAATTTATGTGGCACTTTTCAAATTTTAAAATTTAAATAAATCTATTTTTGACGCTCGATCGGAAAATGCTCTCAAGGATATGAAAATTCTTCTTCCGACAGATTTAAGCGACGTTGTTTTTGATTAAAGACGGTAACCAAAGCTACCTTTAAAATCTTTTCCAAAATACAAAAAAAAAAACATTAAAATTAATTGTATCATAAATCATACAAACCTTAGTACACCATGAAAAAAATAGTCTTACAGAAATGAACATGTGATATTGGTAGGACTAATTAATTGACCATACCTAATAAATTTAAAGAAAGCAATATATTCCGTACATAATTTAAACTCTGTATTACTCCTCAAAAAAGGAGGAAAAAAGAACCAAAAACTTGTGAAAATAATAAATGCTAGTGCTAATGGACCTGAAATAATCCTAGGAACCAAAATTTTGCCATTCAACATTTTCTTCATAACAATTTCAACACTCAAAGCGACTCCATGAATTAGAAAGAATATCATGGCTTCACCGCTAAGCTTCAATCTTTCAATAATGTAGTACAAAAGTAGCTCATGCACTAGCCCCGAGGCAAAAAACGTGGCGAGCACAGCTGGAATTGGGGCCCACTTCCTTGGGATCCGGTCCGCCACAAACAAACGGACGGGGTCATAGACAGTCAAACGGAGAATATTAGATACCATGAGGTTCCACCTCTTGCCCCAGAAATCCTGGAGCGAGCTAGTCAGGTAAGGCTCATTGAAGGGTGGGTCGAGGTCGAGGTCGACTCGACTCACCCCTCGAACCACGGCGCTAACCATATTCAATATGATCTCTAACATGATGTAAATGTTTATACAATAACAAAAGAGAATGAATTTTGGATGTAAATTGTCTTTATAATTATACACCCTTACCAAAATGGCTAGAAGTGTAATCTTGGTAACAAGATTGAAAGTTGAATTTGTAGCCTTTTTGATGGTTTCAACATCTTTAGTTTTTGATGATTTTTTAAACTTAATAGGCAAACAAGCCAAGGGAATGAATGTTGAAAGTGGTAGAGGTGGGGTTGATGACAAAGGGCCTTTACCAAAAGTAAAAAGTATGAGCTTGAAAGTGGCTAGTCCTGTAATGAAGAAGAAAGTAGTAGCACCAAGATTAATTGAGGTGAGATAAAGAGGAAGAATGAAAAATAGACAAACTATTGGAAATATAGCCACAAATCTTGATTTGCCTTTGGGAATGAACTTGGCTATGGTGTGAGAATAACATAAACTAGCTAAGACAATAGTCCATACAACAATGAAATTGTGAATTTCCCCTTCCATTTCTCTCTTTCTTCTTCTTCTTCTTGAAAGATAAATGGAATTTAAAGATATGATTATTGACTTAGGGAACATGTCACATGTGGAAGTGGGGTCGGGTAGAAGTAGAGTATTTCAAATATAATACGTAATTATTAGCATGGATGACCGTGCAAGCACGGGTCCGATATAAGCAGGTTAAATGTGCACATGAAATATATATATATATATATGATGTTTAAATCTTATTTAGTGGTTATAAGAAAAAGTACGGAAAAAGCAGTGTAATGCTTTTTTGCAACAACTAGAACAAATATATTTGCAAACCAATTTTAAAAAGAAAAAAAAATATAAAGAGTATGAACGTCAAAAAGGCAAACATCAATAGCTTTATTTAAACCTAATAACAACGTCATGTTGTGATTATCGAACAATGTTTTTAGAAAATTTCATGGTCGACCATTATTAAGAATGAGGACATCCAATGTCATCATCTTAGTACTATTATTGAAGATTTTCTATAATTAATTTGTTGAATGTCATAAAGACTTTTATTGAACCAATTTGGGGAATGGTATGCAAATGTCTCATCTTATTAGCAAACGAAATGCACAAACATGATGAAGATTTAATAATCTCGATCAAGAAATGTTCTCAATTTTTCTTTCAACTAATTTAAGTGAACGTTTCTTTTGAAAAACGATAAGCCAAAATAACCTTTTTAGTCTTTTCTAAAAAGAAAACAAAAAAGTAGAAAATTTCACGTTGCACTCGAAGTAATTTATTTTTATCATAACACATATGATACAAACCTTAGTCCACCATGAATAAATATTCTTACAAGAGTGGACATGTGATATTGGTAGGACTAATTAATTGACCATACCTAATAAATTTAAAGAAAGCAATAGATTCACTACATGCTTTAAACTCTGTGTTACCCCTCAAAAATGAAGGAAAAAACATCCAACAACTTGTGAAAAATATAAATGCAAGTGCTAATGGGCATGAAATAATCCTAGGAACAAAAAATTTGCCATTGGAAATTTTCTTGATAACAATTTCAACACTCAAAGCCACTCCATGAATTAGAAAGAATAAGATGTATTCACCATTAGGCATCAATCTTCCATTGTAGTTGAAAATCAGCTCATGCATTAGCCCCGAGACGAAAAACGTCGCAAGCACGGCCGGAAGTGGGGCCCACTTCCTCGAGATCCGGTCCGCCACTATCGAACGGACGGGATCGTATACAGTCGGACGGAGTATATTAGTTACCATGAGGTTCCACCTCTTGCCCCAGAAATCCTGGAGCGAGCTAGCTAGGTAAGGCTCATCGAAGGGTGGCTCGAGCTCAACTCGACTCACCCCTCGGACCACGGCACTAATCATATTAAATATGATCTCTAACATGAAGTAAATGTGAAAGCAATAGAAGGAGAGAATAATTTTTGGATGCAAATAATCCTTATAGCTATACACCCTAATGAAAATGGCTAGGAGTGCAATCTTGGTAACATGATTTAAAGTTGACTTTGTGGTCTTTTTTTTGGTTTCAACATTATCATTAATTGAATATTTTTTAAACTTTATAGGCAAACAAGCCAAGGGAATGAATGTTGAAAGTGGTAGAGGTGGGGTTGATGATAAAGGGCCTTTACCAAAAGCAAAAAGAATGAGCTTAAAAGTGGCTAGCCATGCAATGAAAAAAGAAGTAGTGCCACCAAGATGAATAGATGTGAGATAAAGAGGAAGAAACAAAAATAGACAAACTATTGGAAATATAGCCACAAATCTTGATTTGCCAATGGGAATGAATTTGGCTATGGTGTGAGAATAGCATAAACTAACTATGACAATAGCCCATACAACAATGAAATTGTGAATTTCCCCTTCCATTTCTATGTTTCTTTTTCTTCTTCTTGAAAAATGGACGGAACTTATAGATGTCTTTATTATCTCTATCAGGGGGGAAAAAACCATATTATATGAATCATCATACAATTATATGATTGTTGACTTAGACCTTACTCACCTTAGGGAACATGTGAAAGTGGGGTTAGGTAGAAATGGATTAAACTACCTTTATATATATATATATATATATATGTTACACAATAAACATGCATGTGTCACATTTTCTTCATACTGGAATTTGTTGTAATTGTGCCGAGGGTCTTACAGAAATATTTTTTTTACCTTCACGAGATAATGATAAGGTTTGTATACCTTCTACCCTTCCCAAACCTCACTTATAAGATTTCACTATTATTTTATTGTTATTGTTGTTCGACCAATGATGGATTAAACTACCTATATATATATATATATATATATGTTACACAATAAACATGCATGTGTCACATTTTCTTCATACTGGAATTTGTTGTAATTGTGCCGAGGGTCTTACAGAAATATTTTTTTTACCTTCACGAGATAATGATAAGGTTTGTATACCTTCTACCCTTCCCAAACCTCACTTATAAGATTTCACTATTATTTTATTGTTATTGTTGTTCGACCAATGTGTATCACATAAAAGAAAAAACAATAAAAATCTTAACTTAGCATTTGGAAAACATCCAAAACTCTGTTTTCTCTTTTTCATTTACACTAAAAAAAAATTCAAACGTTACTCTAACTGTTATTTCTATAGAAGTGACACCGATTTAAATTATAATTTATGTTTTTAGGAAAGGTATATCCAAATAATCAAATATTATTTTCAAAAATTATAACCAAACATAATTTAGCTTACAAAATTCCAAGAGAAACAAAGAAAATATGACGTGAATTTGCTTTATAATTTTTTTTCCATGTGCCATCATTAATTGAATAAATTAGTTAAAACACATAATATATATAAATTATCTTTATAATAAATAAATGTATTATTGTCACTATTGGTCGATGGTTCAAGAAGTCTTCTCTTTTTGTATAATATCTTGTAGATCTTGATAATGTGTCTTAGATCCTATTAATTAATTATGTAACATTTTGCAGCTAATAACCAGTAGCACACATATTATCATTATCATTATTATTATTATTATTATTATTATTATTATTATTATTTGAACTTTAATTTCAAGGAATATTTACTTCATTATACTTTTATTTTACAAGAATATATATACCGCAATGTCATCAAAAGATAGGGTGATATGAATGACATCATTTTACACTTATAATTTAGCTCTACGCATGTGAATTTTCATTAGTTAGACCACTGGGGTGATTTGAATTTTGGAGAGAGAACTAAGAGAAACATCGTTAATATATTGCTATTAAGGATGGCGATATTCAACATCATCCTCTTAAAAATTATTATTGGAGAAAGGCATATCAATTTGTTGTTTTTCTAGAAAACAAAAGCCACAAGCATAGTGATGATTTAATAATATCGGGAAATGCTCTAAAGAATATGAAACTTCTTCTCTAGACAAATTTAAGTGACGATAATTTTGAACTTTTAAAGGTAAGAAAAAAATAGCAAGTTACACAAAGAAATCAAATTAACTCTATCATAAGTACTCATACAAACCTTAGTCCATCATGAATAAATATTATAACAGGAGTGGACATGTGATATTGGTAGGACTAATTAATTGACCATACCTAATAAATTTAAAGAAAGCAATATATTCATTACATAATTTAAGCTCTGTATTACCCCTCAAAAAAGGAGGAAAAAATAACCAAAAACTTGTGAAAATAATAAATGCTAGTGCTAATGGACCTGAAATAATCCTAGGAACCAAAAATTTGCCATTGAACATTTTCTTAATAGCAATTTCAACACTCAAAGCGACTCCATGAATTAGAAAGAACATCATGGCTTCACCACTAGGCTTCAATCTTCCAATGTAGTAGAAAAATAGCTCATGCATTAACCCCGAGACGAAAAACGTGGCCAGCACAGCTGGAATTGGGGCCCACTTCCTCGGGATCCTGTCCACAATAACCAAACGAACATGATCATAGACGGCCAGACGGAGTATATTAGTTACCATGAGGTTCCACCTCTTACCCCAGAAATCCTGAAGCGAGCTAGCCAGGTGAGGATTGTTGATGGCTGGCTCGAGCTCAACTCGTCTCACCACTCGAACCGCGATGCTAACTATATTCAACATGATCTCTAACATGAAGTAAATGTGGAGGCAATAACAAAAGAGAATGAATTTTGGATGTAAATTTTCTTTATAATTATACACCCTAATCAAAATGGCTAAAAGTGCAATCTTTGTAACAAGATTGAAAGTTGAACTTGTGGTCTTTTTTTTGGTTTCAACATTATCACTAGTTGAATATTTTTTCAACTTTATAGGCAAACAAGCCAAGGGAATGAATGTTGAAAGTGGTAGAGATGGGGTTGATGACAAAGGGCCTTTACCAAAAGCAAAAAGAATGAGCTTGAAAGTGGCTAGTCCTGTAATGAAGAAAGAAGTAGTAGCACCAAGATTAATGGAGGTGAGATAAAGAGGAAGAATGTAAAATAGACAAACTATTGGAATTATAGCCACAAATCTTGATTTGCCTTTTGGAATGAATTTGGCTATGGTGTGAGAATAACATAAACTTGCTAAGACAATAACCCATACAACAATAAAATTGTGGATCTCCCCTTCCATTTCTATGTTTCTTCTTGATCTTCTTCTTCTTCTTGGTTTTTTAATTCATTTCATAAAAAGCATAAACAATGATGGAAGTAAGGTTGTGTAGAAATGGAATATTTCACATAAAACAATTAAGTAGTTGTCATGATGCCATCTAAGACATGTTTATAATAATTATAAAAGAGAAGATCTTTTGCTCATCATCAAGGAGATCTAGTTTTTTTGGAGTTCTACGCCTTTTTTGTATTTTAGCATGCCCTTGTAATATTGGAAAACTACCTAATTATACAAATATTTCTATCATATTTTTTCAATTTTTCCCTATAGTTTAAAATAATATATTATCTCACTAATTAATAATTACATACCATATTTCAAATCAAACATATTTAGATATATGTATTTTTTCCACCATATACACTAAACTAGGGAGAGTGGCGAGCGAGAAAAGGAAAGAGGTGAGCGAGATAGGAGGGAGGAGAGTGAGATCCCCATATACATGTGAATCATCCCAGATACATGTGAATTACACCAAATAGATGTATTTGGGTATATCAGATTCAGGGAGAAAGGAGAGTGGAAAGTGGGATAGGAGAGAGAGGCGAGCGAGAAAGTCAGAACATGCGAGTCCACTTGAATATAATGTATATATAACAAATTACACCTAATTTTAATCACGTACATGTATCTTGATGTATCTGAACGCGCCAAATACATATATCCGAAGTCCAAAATCTGATAAGGAACGTAATATTACAAACTAGGCGAATCTAAATAATTAGCTCTTAAAGTAATGAAATTTATGTTGTTTACCCATTACATATCAGTTCTACAATTAGCCCCTTTAGCCTTAGCCCATATATCACATCCGGCCCAAAACAAAATACCCCACAGCCCACATAAGGAGCCCAATTGTCGCCCAAAAACCAATTCTCATTGCTCTCCTGCTGCTCCGCCGCCGCCGCCCGCCGTCGTTCGATTTTCCTAGCTCAAGGTATTTGAAACCTAACTGATGTATAATATATGTATATAATTCATGTATAATCTATGAATACCGGCTAGAAAAAATAGATAGTAAGTTATTTTGGCTGTTATAGTTAAGAGGTTCTTGTGTGCTTTAGCATGAATAAGCTGAGATTCTTGTAATTGCTTCCTGTTGGTGAAAATACAATTATTGTTGAAAAAATAGAAATAGAAATAAAAATAACAATTTCTATAGGCTGAAGAGCAGATAACTCGTTTTTTTATATTCAAGCCACTAAGATAGAATATTCACTGGTTCAACAGTAATACTCTTGACTTGTTTCCTGCAGCATAAAACATCTCGACAATGTTGTATATGTAGAATAAACTCTAGACTAGTTGTTGAGTCTACTGTTCCATCAATAAGAACACATTCCTTTTTAGATGGCTCTTGCACTTATATTTCATTGGATTAGCCTTAGCGTTGATCATGATTAAATTCGGCTTTAGTTTTCACTATTTTTGTATAGCTAAGGTGCTTCAGTAGTCTTCTAAGATAAAAAGTAAGCTCCTTTTTTTTAGAGTGTAATTTAAGCGAATGCACCTTGAATTTCAAGATTTGGAATACTTTCTATGAAAACTCTGGTCATCATCTGGTGCTCCCAGTAGTCTGTTGAAGCATTTTTTATATATGAACCAAAGCTCGAAAAGCATTGCCTCTGACCTGTGCTGCTCGGACTCTTCAAAAATGTTGTCCAGTGCGTCTCGGATCCTCCAACAGTAGTACATTTTTGAAGGATCCGACAGAGGTCCGAGCAATATAGCCTTTGACTAGTTGAACATTCATAGTTATTCATCATTTGGTCGTTTGTATAATTAAGATTCTTCATGATATGACTGCTTTCTTATAGTAATACAGTATTTTTTGTTCTTAAGAGAAGCACTTATCAGGAGAAACTTGTATAAGGTTAAAGAAGTGTGCTTTCTTACTCATTTGATAGCTCTTACCTCACTTCTTATGATAGTTCCTCTTTTTTCTCCTTCTTTCATCTGATATCCATAAATTTCTTCTTCTTTTTCCGAGTTCCGAAGATTTGGTAATTGTTTTTCAAATGATATCCTTTCTGTGAACAGTCAATGGAACATGGTTCATTTGAAGATCAATCTAAAGCAACATTCTCGTTGACAGATGAGGACCATACGCTGGCAAATGCTGTCAGATTCACTCTAAATCAAGAGTTAGTAGTTCACCTCTTCATTGCTTTTTTCATTATGCAGTAATCACTGCTAATACTTTCAGTGTTCGCTTTATTTCCTCATACAAATTACAGTACATATTACAGAATTTTGTTTGAAGTTTAGTGTCTGGTAAAATAGGGGGCCTGGGTATCTCATTTTGTAACATTCCTCTGATCTCATGTTAATCTTGTTTTTGCATGTTCAGTCTTCAAGCCCCCCATCTCACCCCGTTTTTTTAAGCAGAGTTTTTGTGCAACAAGCTTAAGATGATATGATTAACTGATATCCACTTTCTTGCAGTCCACGAGTAACATTTTGTGGATACAGCATTCCACATCCCTCCGATGCACGAGTGAACATAAGAGTTCAGACTACTGGTAAAGCTAAAAACTTTCACCAACTTATCTTTATCAATGATTTCTCCAACTTATAAAAGAAAAGCTTAAACGTTTCTCTAGCAATAGCAATGCAGGGGTGATTCGTGTACTGGATTTTCTGTTCTTTTATAAACTTTTTTTAAAATCTGATGTTCAAATTGGTATCCTGCTTCCACATGTTTTATCCTTGCTACCTAATTGCAAGATTTCTCCTCTATCTATAATTTTTTCCAACTTGTATGATACAAAGATTGTAGTCCTCTTTATTTATTATTCCGCCCAAGTGGACTATTCTCTCCTTATGGAGTCTAAGAAAACTGAGATATCTTTGCGCGGTATTTCCAGTTAAGAAGATTATCTCATTTATATTTTTTTTTGTTCTGATGTACACAAACGACCAAACATAATTCCTAGAAGCCCATTCCACTAGGGAGTTAATGTGTAGCAATGTTTCTCCATATGAAGTTTTCCTTGTTGATATTTTCGATTAGAAGGAATAATATAAAGCTATTTTATTTTTCAATTAGAGATTGCAACAGCATGCATAACCTGTGTACTGATACGACCGCCTGGAAATAGCAATTCGCAATTGTCTTTTTTTTTTAATGCTTCCATATGTTTATACAGTTCTTCTGTGAAATGTTGTGGACCTCTGTTTGAGTTTTGGTATATCTGGCTTCTATTGCAGGAGATCCAGCTAGGGAGGTATTGAACGATTCATGTCAGGATCTAATGCTTATCTGCGAGAACGTTAGAGACACATTTGACAAGGCTATTTTAAAGTTTAAAACTGAAGGAGGTCTGAGCTCTATGGATATCAAGAAATAATCGACAAGAAGTACATATAACCTCATATCCAAGTGAAATCTTGTAACCTTATTTGCACAAAAGTTGCTTTCGTTATAACCATTTTCCCCCATAGGCCATATATATGTTCATCAGATTATTAGCTATAATGCTTATGCTTTAGTTGCACACTGTCATCTGCCGATTTGGTGATCTCCATGACGATGATAGTGCAAATTTTGGCTAGTTGGCTCACATATACGAAGAATGTACCTTGGGCTGTGCAGAAATATTGATCTGCATGTTTTAATGCACTGTGCTTCCTTTTACATTGGGTTAGGATGGATGAATCATTGGATTTTTTATCAGCTTGCTTTCGCGTAAAAGTTGTCTATTCGTACTTTCTTTTTATTGGCTCTCTCTCATATTGTCTTAGCTCGCGCGTTATGAACTCCAGCCATAGTAACCATACAAATGAAATGAGCCAACTAATCGATCTTTCTCTTGGTATACATCCCTTTGTTTTGGATTTGCTTTTGCTTTAGTTCTTGTCGTAGAACGACCTTTTCTGTTCTACTTTGCATCTTTTCCATTTGGGACTGATGCATAATTATTTTCCACTTGAGTAGTTTTTAACAATATTGCTAAACCAAGAAAACAAACCACAAGATTCTGGTCAATATCTTATTATTTCATTGAAAATGAACAAACCACTCACATTGCTATTGCTCTTGTTATTGTAGTATATATGTACAACTGAGATTATAATTATACACCAACAGAATTTCGAATTCACGCCTGTACTAAAGAAAAAAATCTGGTTCTTGCACTCATCCAGTTCTTACATATCCTCGAGCAATATCAGAACTTCAAATCATTCCAACCTCGTGTTTGGCTCGTTGCTAAGATCTGGAAGATGTTCAGCCGAAGCACATTACATAGTTTCTCCTATATTGTCCGTCTCCTCGAGGAAGATGAATGAATAAAAAACATTTCATATTTAAGATGCATTACCCAAACAAGATATGTTGAGAAGCCTGCAAGATTGTTCTACCATCAGTTTATAGGTAGAAGGATGCTTCCAGGCTATAAACGAGAACTGGTCTCCATATCGTTCCATTCCTTCCACTAATAGCTGCCATACTAAGGCTCCTGCACCAGCTTTCTTCTTCTTTGCTGACTCGTAAATCTTGTCATAAACTATTTTCAGAAAAATATTTCTGTCGTATAATCCGTTCTTCTGTATACTCGAAGGAAAACCAACTTCTGTGAAGAGAACAGGCTTCTTAAGGATTTTTTCAGCTTCACTAATGTGAGAATCAACCCAATGAGATAGAAAATCTACTCTCGCGTCTGAATTTATACCACCTTTGATCCTGCAAGAAAACATATTTTAACATAATCGATGAAGGCAGTTATAAACACATATGAGCTTATATTTCTACATATGCTACTATAAAAATGTATCTGATTTGGAACAAATTTAATCTGCTTGACTAACCAACTGTGGGGGTATGCATGAACTGAAGTAAAATCAATGTTTTCAATAGCCGAGTTCTCAATGAAGTCCACTCCAAGTGATGCAGCCCATTTCCCTGGGTTCAATCCAACGTTTCCAGTTTTCTCCACACCATAAAAGCCCTCTAGTCCAATGGTCACGAGATGCTTCTGATCCAAACTTTTGACAAATCCAGCCATCTCTGCTATCCACGCCTGTTCACGAAATTACCATTGAAGCTAAAGAAAGAAGGTACTACAATCAGACCTCTCTATAACAGTCACCCTCTATAACAACACTTCACTATAACAGCCAAATTTTTCTTTAGAACCGATTTTTTCATGTTCTCTATAACAACATTTCATTACAACAGCCAAAAAAATGCCTGCACAAACAATGCAGTTATAGAGAGGTTTGGCCATAATAGGTGCAATGGGACGAGTAAAATCTTGCTTTATGTACTAGAACTATTGATATGCAAACTAATTAACACAAACAAAGAAAAAAGTAATCTCTGCCAGATGCTTTATTTTCCTTGCTTCAAAATCGCCATTTTTCTAGTGTCATTGAGAGGCCAAAACTCTCTCTAGTAAGCAGTATAATTCAAAAAACTAACCTGGAGAGCAGCAGCTGATGAACTGGATTCACAACGAGGCTCATTTATGAGTTCCCACGCAAATATGGCCGGTTCTTCTGAATATTTAACTCCACTTATAGAGTTTTTTCTTGTCACAATAGCCTGCCATGCGCAACAAGTAAAAAAAAATTATAATGTGTTTATAGTTCATCACGTGAAAGTAAATAGAAAGAAATTGCTTAACGGGAAAAGCTTCTTCAAAGTGTATTCAGTTAGCATTGTCAAGTGTCTTAAGTTTGCTTAATTTGAACATACCTTGACAAAAGACTTGTAGTATGCTTTAACCGTTGGATTGGTAAAGAATGCATCTCTTGATGATGACACATTGGTACCTGCTTCTCGCGCCCACCTCATATATTGAGCAGTGCCACCATATGCTTTTAAATTGTTTACAAGACTAAGGATTAATCGAATGTTATGCTTCCTTGCTTCAACAATGACAAAATCTAATCCCTGAAAATGATAGGATGATAAGATTATATCAAAATGTGGGGAGAAGGTAAAAATTTATACCATGTGGCATAAAATTGCATCACTAAGCAAGGCCCTGAACAATAGTTCGTAATAGTCTAGTAAGATGAACAGACTTGTGTGAATGTATGCTTGCAGATACATCGGCAAGATAATCGTTAGGAATTGCATATGTGCACTATAATATCTAGTTTTATCTACTGGTGGTCTACTAGTCTGTGGTTTCTATTGCTACTTTCTGCCGAGCTCTTATGGTGTTAGATCGATTATATAATCAAGACTGAATATAATCAATTTTTGAACAAATACTACTTAAAATTTGTATCTTCGGCCATCTAGGCGCAATCCACTATCCACACAAAACTAAATTGTTTGGATCTTCAGTATAGCAGTAGGTACTATGTATAGTAGTAGGTACTCAGAACTCATGAATGCTTGATATCGTAGTAAATTCTGCATTGCAACTATAATTGCAGAATACTATATGCTACCCATTTGTATTGCTAGACTAGATGTAGCAGAGTTAAACTATCAGAAGTGTTTCTAGTAATCTTTAGCTGATGTTCATTATGATAAACACCAAAAAGTTCTGTCCTTTCAAAGTACTTTTGCACAAAACCTTTTCGGTTTGGACTACTATTTCATAATATGCCAATGATATGACCGAAAGCAGGTCTATCCGTAATGACGTCTTGCTAGCTTTTAGATGTTTAACTGAATATTCAAAGTTTCAAACCTACTATTCCACCATCCCCAACACCTCACCAGTGAGAACAAGATACATGTAAGCTGGTTAGTTGTTCTTTTTTACGGTTGTGTTCAGGGCAATTTGTACGTATCTCGACTATTCTATGGGTACCTTGAAAATGGTAGTGAGTTATTCCATCTACCAGGTTTTGGTAGACATGAAAAAATCACCTAGCATTTTTTGTAAATTCTCTGCTCTCCTGTGATTTCATCCCACTTCATTGGCCGCCACCTTGATTACTAGTTGATTTATGCACTTAACATACAAATTAAGGTATACTACCAATTGTAAAGCACAATATTTAAGTTTAATACGCCTAAGAATTATACAAAGACTCAAACTTTACCTTCTATTTTCACTAAACTTCTATTAACAAATAAAATCATCTCTGTTTCAAGAGAAATAAATCAACATCACACCCTAAAACACCATAAACACAGCGATCTTAGAAACTGGCAAATGATTCTCATTTTTTTGAATTAAGAAACAACTTCTCAAAGTGTTCAATAAGTTACTACTCCCTCCCATTCAAATTATTTGTCTTACCATCCTTTTTAGTTGATTTCAAGAAAAAAAAAACGTCTCTTTCCCATTTTTCAGCAACTCTTTTATTCTACCTTTCCACCTTGACATGTTTAAGACCACAAGATTAAAGTACATTTTAGTGCATTCTATATATCTTTAGTTTAAGACTACAAGATTCAAAACTCTTTCTTTTACTTTCTCAAAACTCCACGTCAAATAAAAATACCAGATAATCAAATTGAAATAGAGTTGAGTACAAGTTATGTTGCTCAGACTCTTTAAAAATGTTGATGGACACATGTTGGATCCTCTAAAAGTAAGTGCAGTTTGGAGTATCCAACATGAGTACAAACACCATTTTTGAAAACTCCGAGCAACATAGGCAATAAGTACTTCAGTAATCCCAATAATTGCTACAAAAAAACAACAACATCATACCCAATGAAACTCTTTTATTACTTTCTTAAACTCCATGTCAATTTAAAACCAAACAATCAAACTGAAACGAAGGGAGCATAAGTTATGTTGCTCAGACTCTTCAAAATTGTTGATGGATGCGTGTCGGATCCTCTAAAAGTAAGTGCATTTTTGAAGTATCCAACACAAATGCAAACAACATTTTTGAAAAATCCGAGCAACATAGAGTCTATAAGTACTTCAATGATCCTAACAAGTGCTACAAAAAACAACATATACAGTAAAATTCCACAAAGTGAGGTCGGGGAGGGTAAAGTATACGCAAACCTTACACCTATCTCGGAGGTATAGAGGTTGTTACCCTCAGCTCAACTATGCTACAAAAATCAAACAAAAACCCAAATAACAGAAAAATTAGCAATTTTGAAATAGAAGTACCACCTTAAAGACTCTTTCATTGAAGACTCCAGGAAGTAGCTGAAGATCATTAGGTCCACCACCATCACTAAAAGCCCAAGTCCTACAAACACTCAACCCCATTTCAGCTCCTCTTTTCAACATCTTAGAAACCCTAAATCTTGAAGATACCCAAACACTTTCCTCCATTAACCAATAAGAATTCCAACCATTAATGTAAAATTCTTGAAATGTTAAAGATTGAGTCTTTGGATTTTCATTCTTGATGAAAAATCTAGTTTCATTAACCCCAACAAAACCCATATAAGGTTGTCTTAGAAAGATTTGTGGGAAAGTGAAATTAAAATTGTCATTGAAACTCAAATACAAAAGAAAAAAAATGGTGAAAATGCCTAAGGCTGGATATAGTTTTTTGTCTCTCCATTGTGTGTCCATTTGGGAAATTTTGTTGGTTTGTTTTGTGTCAAATGTTAGTTATATATATAAAGGGCTTTATTTTAATCTCCCACCGACTAAAATTTTGGAGTAATTTTCTTTTCGAAACCAAACTTATACACTATATATTTATCAAACATATCGAGAGTTCTTTTGAAATTCGCTTTGTATATTATAGAGA